GTATTATCTAAAAGGAAAGGAGGACAGTATCATATCATAAAACAAGCTAGATCGATATCGACATTCATCCCCTTTGGCTCTAAGGAATCCAATCGATAGATCCAATATGTTTCTCTTTGAGACAATTTAAGATCTCTGTCCCCTCCTCTCCAATGGGGGGATATTTGTTCGATACCTACACCTTTAAAGTCTCTCCAATTGAAAAAAGGACACGAATTGCAATGAACCGGTACGGAATGGGTGGTCATACCGTTTCTGATGTTGTTAATATGCTCCATAAGACGGATCTTAAGAAGTCTTTTAGTTTTTCCCACATATTGTTTGCCACACTGACACTGCAGTACATACACAACATAGTCCGTGTGGCATCCAATACCTGATTTAATGGGGAAACTAATTTGAGTGATAAAGCTGGTAAAATTAAGGGATTTTCTTTTTATTTTAGTTTTTAGCTGCATCCCTTTTCCTTTTTCCTACACAACTGAGGCAGGGGGTGACTAGTGACAGTTTTTTGCTAGATTTGGTGTTTTTAATAAAACTAACAAAATCTGTCAGCACGAAAGTAGCTGTTTAGTGGATAAGGGAGTGTGCTGGATTTTAATTTTTACTGAGTTCCATATCTCTATGAATTCAACGTCATCCTGATCAAAAGTAGGGACCTTAATAAATCGTAAACCTCTTGGATATGATCTTTGAATATGATTGTGTGGCATGGGAATAGAATGTGTAGTCCCTGGCGTTAGGATTTTGTACAGGCCAATAATCAATAAGTTTATTTGTGTGAAGTAAGGCCCTGATTTTGCATCTGTGTCTGGGGTCCGTATTGAGGTTGCCACCTGTGTTATCCAGTCTGGAGTCTAGTGTAATGTTAAAGCAGGGCTTGACAAATTTGCTTGGAATGTAGGCGCCAGCAAAAAAAGTTAGGAGCCAGGTTTTTCAATGTCAAAAATACAATTCTTAAAGGTTCACTATAATCACCAGAACCACTACAGCTTAATTAAGGAAATGTGCATTTGCATATAACCAATGTTTTAGTCAAACTACCTTGACATATTAAGAAATGTTTGGTAATGGGACTGGAATGGTGAATGTATGCTGTTGCACAACTGTAAAAAACAAATGATGTTGTCTTGTTGATTTCGAGGTCCTATGAGTGTGTAGTTCACTTTGGCTTGATGATCTCAGCCAGTCCAATGCTTTCCCATAGGAAAGCATAGGGAGGCTATTGTGCATGCGTGGCCAATCAGCATCTCCATGGGCAGCATTCAGCACCTCCATGCAGACCCATCTAATAAACAGACCCCTCACTCATTCTAATACACTGCCCACAAATACAATACATTTCCCCAAATCCAATCGAATACACTGCCCCTCCACCCAATCTAATACACTACTGAACCTCCCTCCACTCTAATTGTATACACTGCCCCCACTCCCACCACTCTAATTTAATACACTGGCCTCCCCCCAATTTAACGGGCAGCCCCCCTCCCACAACTCTAATACACTGCCCCATCCCTTAATTTAACTCACTTCCCCCCTTTCCACCACTCTAATACACTGCCCCTATCACTGCCCTCCCCACCACTCTAATACACTGCCCCTCCCCCAATTAAAACACTGCCCTCCCCCTAATTTAACACACTGCCCCCTCCCACCACTCTAATACACTGCCAACCTATCACTACTCTGATACACTGCCCCGTCCCCCAATTTAAAACACTGCCCTCCCCCTAATTTAACACACTGCCATCCCTCCCACCACTCTAATACACAGCCCTACTCCCTTCCCCAATTTAATACACTGGCCCCCTTTCTCCCCAAATGAATACACTGCTCCCTCAAATTAATACACTGCTACCCCTCCATCCCTCAAATTAATACACTGTTACCCCTCCATCCCTCAAATTAATACACTGCCCTCTCCCTCCCTCAAATTAATACACTGCTACCGCTCCCCAATTTAATACACTGGCACCCTCCCCCAAAATAATACACTTCCCCGTCCATCCCCAAAATGATTTACACTGCCCTATGTGTAAAAATAACATATTTAGATGAGGGCCGTGAATATGTCCGTATAACCATAGACATAATTATGGCCCACATTATGTTAAAGTACACTTGACCAGGCCTGTGTAATGTAAGTAGTGATGGACAGTGAAATAATATTATTAACAGGCAGTACCATAAATTCTAACCACGTGTATAGGTCCAAGTTTGCACCTGACATAAATTTAGATAGTCAGTAGCAACACCTAGCCATATAATTATTGAACAATGTAGGCCCAATGAGTGCCTGAATACCCAGATGGCAGACATATAGAATACATATTGGTAGGGAAGCTGGAAGTATTGTTGCCACCTGGCCGGTAGTTTACAAGCATAGCTGGTATTCAGGCTGCCTGGCCGGTGCCGATATTGCAATAATACTGGCAATACAAATGCCGGTATTTTTTTCTGTGATTGAAATTAGATGCCATACCGCCACTGTGTTTTGAGAGAGGCAGGGACAGGAACTTGATCTCTCTGCCTCTTTCTATGCTCTGAGTCTACGGGGTAGCAGCACAGCACAGAGCCAGCAGCTCCCAGCCTGCAATTAGCCTACTAATTTAGTAGTGAGGAATGGTGGGAAACTAGATGGGAGACTCTAGTAGTGAGGGATGCGGGGACACTGGTAGTGAGGGATGGGGACACTTGATGGGGGGACTCTAGTAGTGAGGGATGGGGACACACTAGAAGTGAGGGATGGGACATTAGTTGAGGACACAATAGTAGTGAGGGATGGGGGGCAATAGATGGGGACACACTAGTAGTGAGGGATAGGGGGACATTAGATGGGGGCACACTAGAATTGAGGGATGGGGGACATTAGTTGGGGCACTCTAGTAGTGAGGCATGGGGGACATTATATGGTGGCGCACTAGTAGTGAGAGATGGCGGGGACACTAGAAGGAGGGGAGCTAGCTGTGTCCTGTGTTGGGACATCTGTAACCACTAAACATTCCGTTTTGTTTTTTTCCTGAATGGTGAGATTTGTGCTCCTATGTCTATAAAGACAGGTATCTTTATTTGAATTAAAGGACCACTATAGGCACCCAGACCACTTCAGCTTAATGAAGTGGTCTGGGTGCCAGGTCCATCTAGGGTTAACCCTGCCTGCTGTAAACATAGCAGTTTCATAGAAACTGCTATGTTTACAGATGGGTTAACCAGCCTCTAGTGGCTGTCTCATTGATACAGAATTCAGTTTCATAAAGGCACATGGATCAAAGCAGGCCCCAACAAATCCCAGGCGCCATGACAACTTAAAATTTTAATCTAACGCAAAGTCGTTTTTTTGTTTTTTTTTTGTAGTTTATAGCATGTTCCCCTTTCAAAATGTATTTTTTATTACTCTTATGTCACTCCTTCTGATTTACATACTGTAATGTCATGCATATATAATTATTTATGCAAATTAGTATGGCTGGTATTTTTTTCTAAGAAAGGTGCCAGCCCTAGCTGGAAGAGGCCTGGTGAACATAAGTAACAAATGCTGATCTGTTCAAAGCTGACAAGTATATGGGCCGACAATAATAATCTTCAAATATGAAAAACTAAATATACGGCATAGCATTAATTAAACATTAAAATGCAGGGTGACTAAATGAATTGCATTTAATAAAATGTATATGGCTAAATGAGGGCAGAATACAGTAAGCCGAATGCATGAACCTAATTGAGATATCACTATGATGCTATGTATGAATAAAATAGGCCAAATTCTCGTTAGTAGTGAAAATCACCGTATGAGGGCAGAATATGGACTGAACTGCGAATGCCTACCTAGTTAGTGAAAGGCTGAACATGGGGCGAATACATGTTGAATGTCAGGGACAGCGTGGCCCAACCCAGCCTGAATGAACAAACTTACAATTTTGTTGTAATAAATGCACAAACAGCAACAGGAAAAGCCACGACTGGGCCGTATTTGGCAGTGCCCCATGAGCTTCCAAGAAGGCGGCTGTTTTTTACTAGAGTGAGGTAAAATTTATATTTGCATGGGCTGCACAAGACCAAGACCAGCTTGTTTGGAGTTTAGAAACTTTCTATTGATGACCTTTCAACTGCAAGTAGATGGTTCTGTACTGAACCAAACAGTCTCAGCCCAGAAGAAGGGGCAGCCTGTGTATTTATAGGCCTGGTAACTCCTTCAACAACTACGGCTCAGCCATCTCATATATGCATATGCATATAGTGTGTGGTATATAACATTGTTATTAATATCACATGGTTTATCATATACATTATAATCAATGGGAATTTTGTGGGGGTGTTTGTAGCTATTTTAGTGCAATTACATTAAATTCACAAATTTCATTTTATAAATGCATGGTTGAAGTTAAGATGTGATTGAGAAGGTGGTTCTTTTTTTCCTAATTAAATGTTTTATTATATATTATATTTGGCCCTCCTGTAAGTAGTATTCTAGGTTAAAGTTAATTATGAATAACACTGTATCTCTGTTCTCAGGAAATGATGATGATAACACAAATTATAGACATCTTGAAATTGATGAAGTATAAGAAGTATCAGTTTTATTAGGTTTGTTTGGGGTGTTTTGTGCTGTGCCCTCTTTACTCGGGAGATAAATAATGTGAGTGATAACTCAATTATCTCCCAGATTCACGTTTAACAGGAGTCCCATGCTGGGGGTCCATGTATAAATGACCATGCTTTTGAAAATAAAATCAAGTGTACTCGCAGAATGATCAGAATCATGTGTCATCTGATTACTGATGGAGAGAGCTAAATTCAGTAACCAGTACTTCTTCCAGCTACAAGGGGAATTTAGAGGAGATGTCCAGTCAGGATGTAGGAATTCTGCTACAGGGTTCTGTATTAGTTTTATAAATAGTTAGATGTTTTATTATATTTTCTATTTGGCATTCCTGTAAAAAAAATTATATTTTAATGTTAATTCTTAATATGATGATGCATTCTGATGTCTGTCCTCAGAATATGTGGATGATTACAGAAATTGCAGAGTCCTTCAAACAGATAAAAAAGCAGCAGGAAAATGTAATGCTACAGGTAAGAATTTGAATTCTAATTAATTGAAATGTATGTGTATTTAACTATTACATTTATGTAAGTAACCATTTTTAAAACAGACCATAGATCGGTCTTCATATTACTGCAAGAAGGTAACCCTTTGCCTAAACTTGCTTGAGAGATTGGTCAAGCTAACTTAATTGTATTTTATGAAGAAGTATATAGTATAGATCAAGGTGTTGCAGCAAATGTGATCTACTTGGATGTTGCCAAGGCTTTTGGTATGGTTCCACACAATAGGTTAGTGATTAAACTAAAAGAAACTGGTCTAGATGAAAATTCTTGTTCTTGGGTAGAACATTGGCTTAAAGATAGAGTACAAAGAGTTTTCATTAATGGTAAATTTTCAACCTGGACAAAAGTGGTAAGTGGTGTCCCTCAAGGTTCTGTTCTGGGGTCCCTTCTTATTAACATTTTACACGCATAGTACTGCCCACAGGGTTTTGCAGAACAACCAATCAATACGTACAATACCCACGGACACTCCCACACAAAATCTCTCCTCTGCCTGTGATACAATTACCTTACACAATGGGTTTAAGTAATTATCACAGGCAGAGAAATACAGTTTTTACACATGTACTGTAACTTTAAAACTATACATGCAATATTCATAAACATTCAGCACACTTTAATTATAAACATAGTCAAAATTCAGCCAATTCCATCCAGGGGTTAAAAAGTTAGCTGGAAGTCCTTTTATGACCGACTGCAAGCACATTTTCATGCCCAAAACAGTTCCATAGATTTGGGCTGCGCGGTCGGTCAATTTCACACTGAAAAAATGAATCTTCGAATTTGACTTAGTCTCTGCAGCTGAAAATTCAGTATAGGAGAAGGTAAGGGTCAGCGGTGTTCGTGGAACTGTGTAGCTGATTTCAGTTCCAGGAATTTGGATCCCCACACCGCTGACCGCATTTGAATGAAAAAAGATGGCGCCACCACATGTTCATTTGCGTGAACGGCGGCCACCCAGCGCTCGGCAATTTATCTACAGCAGGCTCCCAGCCTGGGAGGTAAATTGCCTGCACACTTCCAGTTCTGGGTGGTCCGTCTGTGTGGTACTTAGTTCAGTAAGCCCCATTTACTGAACTAAGTGGGAAAAGGGCACAAACAAAGTATATTAGGGGACAGGGGACACAGTCTTAAAGGGGCATTGTTCCCAAAAGTCACAGTATGTCCCCAGATGGCTCTTAAAGGGCCAGTAGCAGCAAAATAAAATACAATATGCCCAAATACTGTATTTAAAGGGCCAAATCTCCCAGGGACCATAGTCAGCAGGCAGGAGGCGGGCAAACAGGCTTCTCCCATGCCCAGTGATGAGGTTGGTTTCACCACAGAATGCACTAGCAATTTATACTGTAAATGGTAGTAAGTTAAGGATAAAAACACATGAGAAGGATTTGGAAATTGTTATAGACAATAAACTAGGCAACAATGTGCAATGTCAATCATCAGTGGCTAAGGCCAGTAAGGTATTGTCATGCATGAAAACAGGGTTTCTGGTAGGTCAAGGCAAGAGAGATTCCAGGAGCCGTAGCTCCAGGAAAAACACAGACCTGTTCCGCTGAGAATATTGAGATACTTGATATAAGCTGGGGACAGTGCAGAGAGAGGCGTTTGCTGGAAACTTGTGGAGGGACAGGAAGCCAGGGGAGTGTTATAGTCTTTTAATAAGTTTTAGCAGTGTTTTTGGTTGTATCCGCTACACACATCTTGAATATGCTGTGCAATTTTGGGTACCTGTTCTAAAGAAGGAAATGGTGGCTTTGGAAATTATAGAAAAAGTGCAGAGGCGGGTTACAAAATTAATGAAAGGAATGAAACATTCCTTTTTACCTATGAAAAAGGTTAACAAATGTTTAATTTAGAAAAACAGTGCATCAGAGGGGATATGATTAGAGTTGAGAGAACCCGAACTGTAAAGTTTGGGTTCGTACTGAACATTACGGTTTTTGGACCCCGGACACAAACACGGACATTTCAGTGTATGTTCGGGTTGGAGTTCGGTGTTCGGCGATTTAATGGCACGTTTTGAAAAGCTGCAGGGCAGCCAATCAACAAGCATTTGACTTGTGTGCCCTTAGAAGCCATCACAGCCATGCCTACTAATGGCATGGCTGTGATTGGCCAGTGCAGCATGTGAGCTATCTACCAAAAGGCTGGAAGACCTAAATTGGTCTTTCAGCCACATTTACTAATACTAAGTAAAGATTACTTAGTATTAGTAAAGTCAGCCCCTACTCGCTATACCGCGAGCAGGGCCGTCTTTAACATTGATTGGACACTGGGCAGGCATTTGTTTGGGCCCCCTGGATCCTGCCATCCCTCGCCCTCCCCCCACACTTTCACTCTCTGGCATGCAATCACGCCCTCCACCCCAACACAGTGGCAGAACTAATGTAGACAGGGCCCTGGTGCAAGACATTGTTTTAAGCCTTCCCTCTAGCGCAAGAGCAGAGAAAAGATAGATCCTCATCTGTTGTACAATTCCAACGATGCTATGCCAGCTGGGGATCTACCATTTGTCCATTTTTGCAGGGCTGTATTTGTGAGCAGTGTTTGTGCATTTGAATGTGAGCATGTTGTTGTATACAGTATGTGTGTGCATGTAGGGTGTAGTATTGGTGTTTAAGTGTAGGGATGTGTTTCCATATACTTTTTGAGTTTGAATTCAGGGGTGTGTTTGTATGTAATGTTTGCAGGGGTGTGGTTGCATGATGTGTTTGATTGCCGTGATGTATGAATGTCAACATTCACAGATATACATACACATTAGCACACTGATACATGCACACATCTGGACACACTGACAAAGACTGGCGTATACACACACAGCCACATACATAAATACACGTGCACACACAGAGATAAAAACACTGGCACATCCACACACAGAGATACACACTTACACACACTGACACAGATATATACACAAATACATATGTATTTGTGTGCAGTGTTGGCGTAGGAATGCAGGGATGTATGCATTGTCACACAGATGCACTCACACACAAACAGTGATACACACAGGAACACAGATACACATGCAGTGGTGTATTTGTGTGCATTGTTAATGTTGGAATGCAGGGTTGTATTTGTGTGCAATGTTAGCTGGGATGTATGCATTGCCACACGCACAGATACACACTTACACATACTGACACTCATACACACACAGGTACATATACACAGACAAGCAGGTACACATACAAACTGACACATAGGTATACATACACACAGATACACATAAACACTGACACAAAGGTACATGTACACTGACACAAACACAGCCATATAAACACACACTGACACAAACAGCCAGATACACACTGACACACACAGCCAGATACACACTTACACACACAGTGTCAGATACACACACACACACACAGTCAGACACAAACGCAGCCAGATACAATCACAGCCAGCCAGATACACACACACACAGTGAGATATACACACAGTGAGATATACACACACACAGTCAGATACACACACATACAGCCAGATACACATGCACACAGTCAGATACACACACAGTCAGATATCCACACATACAGCCAGATACACACACAGTCAGATATACACACATACAGCCAGATACACACACACACACAGTCAGATACACACACAGTCAGATATACACACATACAGCCAGATACACACACACACACACAGTCAGATACACACACAGTCAGATATCCACACATACAGCCAGATACACATACACACAGATACACATACACACAGTCAGATACACACACACAGCCAGATACACACACATACAGCCAGATACACACATACACATACAGCCAGATACACACACACACTGACACAAACACACACACACAGAGTCATATGAATTCACATAGTTTAGCCACCCTCCTTACCTTTACAGAAGTGTGGCTTCCCTGTGGTCCAGTGGGAGCTGGATGGCTGAGATTGATGGGAGTCTTCTTCTTCTTGGTCTGTACCTCCTCCTGCTCTCCATGTATGCCTCCTCCTCCCCAGCGGCACTCTGTTAATTGGGAGGAAGTGACCTCACAACACTTCCTCCCAGCAGGCAGGAAGACAGGGGCTCGGTCTGCAGCTCTCTTAAAGGGCCGGGGCCCCTGATTACATCACCTGCTGCAGCCCACCGGGATATTTCTCAGTATCCCGGTGGGCTGTTCAGACCTGGCTGCGGGCAGGGGGCCCACAGGGCAGCTACTTTGGGCCCCCCAGGATCAACTGGGCCCGGGGCAGCTGCCCTGTTTGCCCCTTGTTAAAGACGGCCCTGACCGCGAGTATGGGCATGTCTAGTCAACATTGAGCAGCCAGTGGCTGCTCACTGAAAAAAATAAAAAAATAAATAAAAACCTATTGGCCCCCACCCCTGAACAGAGGGTGGGGGCCCTAAAGTAAAATAAGGGGGGGGACCTATTGTCCTCCCCTCCGGCCCCCATCCCTGAGCGGCGGGTGGGAGCCCTAAATAACAATGAGGGGGGGAATCTACTGTCCTCCCCCCCCGGCCCCCACCCCTGAGCGATGGGTGGGGGCCCTAAATAAGAATGAGGGGGGGGACCTATTGTCTTCCCTCCCGGCCCCCACCCCTGAGTGGTGGATGGGGGCCCTAAATTTAGAATAAGGGGAGGACCTGTTGTCCTCCCCCATGGCCCCCACCCCTGAGCAGTTGGTGGGGGCCCTAAGTTAGAATAAGGGGGGACCTATTGTCCTCCCCCCTTTCCCCCACCCCTGGGTTGTGGGTGTGGGCCCTAAATAAAAATGTAAACCCCCCCGTCATCCCCCTCCCCCCAAGAAATAACCCCTACCTACCACCTTCATCCTAAAAATAATGAGACGAGACCATAAGCTAGATACCTTTAAAAAAAAAAAATAATAATAAACTTACCATTTGATGTAATTTGGGTATTTTTTGTTGGGTGGAGGGGACCCCTAGTCACCTTGGGGTGGGGGGGTTTAAATTTTTATTTAGGGCCCCCACCCGCCGCTCAGGGGTGGGTGCCAGGGGGGAGGACAATAGGTCCCCTTTATTCTAATTTAGGGCCCCCACCAACTACTCAGGGGTGGGGGCAAGGGGGGAGGACAATAGGTCCCCCCTTTATTCTAATTTAGGGACCCAACCTGCCACTCAGGGGTGGGATCTGGGGGGAGGACAATAGGTCCCCCCCTCATTCTTATTTAGGGCCCCCACCCATCGCTCAGGGGTGGGGGCCGGGGGGGAGGACAGTAGGTCTCCCCCCTCATTCTTATTTAGGGCCCCCACCCACCGCTCAGGGGTGGGGGCCAGGGTGGAGGACAATAGGTTCCCCCTTATTGATATTTAGGGCCCCCACCTGCCGCTCAGGGGTGGGGTCCTGGGGGGAGGACAGTAGGTCTCCCCCCTCATTCTTATTTAGGGCCCCCACCCACCGCTCAGGGGTGGGGGCCAGGGTGGAGGACAATAGGTTCCCCCTCATTCTTATTTAGGGCCCCCACCCGCCACACAGAGGTAGGGGCTGGGGCGGAGGACAGTAGGTCCCCTCCTCATTGTTATGTAGGGCCCCCACCCGCCGCACAGGGGTGGGGGCTGGGGGAGAGGACAGTAGGTCCCCCCGTCATTCTTATTTAGGGCCCCCACCCACCGCTCAGGGGTGGGGGCCAGGGGGCGGACAGTAGGTCCCCCCTCATTGTTATTTAGGGCCCCCACCCACCGCTCATGGGTTGGGGCCGGGGGGAGGACAATAGGTCCCCCCCTTATTTTACATCAGGGCCCTCATCTGCCGTTCAAGGGTGGGGGCCAATAGGTTTTTTTTTTGTTTTTTGTTTTTTTACAGGCTGCTCACTGTTTACTAGACAAGCCCCTACTCACGGTATAGCGAGTAGGGGCTGAATTTACTTATACTAAGTAATATTTACTTAGTATTAGTAAATGTGGCTGAAAGACCAATTTAGGTCTTTCAGCCTTTTGGTTGATAGCTCCCTAATTCCTTGGGAATTAGGGAATTATCTACAAAGCGGCTGCTTATTTTATGTTATTTGCAGTTATTTCCCTATCCTACTCTTACCCCCATTTTACTTCATTTTGCAGCCCTCTAGCCCTTTCCAGGACTTTTTTAGAGGCATTTTAGTGCCGAAAAGTTCGGGTCCCCATTGACTTCAATGGGGCTCGGGGTCAAGTTCGGGTCAAGTTCAAGCCTGAACTCGAACTTTTTGCCGAAGTTCGGCCAAACTCGGTGAACATCCAGGTGTCTGCTCAACTCTAGATATGATAACATTATACAAATATATCTGAGTCCAATACAAACCACTGTCTGAAAGTCTATTCACAAACAGGACTATGCATAGAACACAAGGTCATGCCTTTTTTTACAGTAAAAAACAATAAGGATGTGGAATTCTCATCAGAGTCTGTTCAGATGTTTAAACATCAACTAGATTCATGCTTGCAAACACATTATTCAATTATATCAGTATTCAATTGTAAGGTAATAGCTTCTTGGAAGCACGTCAAACTGTTTTTTTGCCTTCGTTTGGATCAACAGTAAAACAGAAAAAAACAGATGTCAGGAAGGTTAAAATTTATGGATAATTTTCAGCCTATGCAACAATGTAAAAAACAAACAAACAATACAATACTATCACCACAAATACGTGAAGAATAGTAAATGGTAAGTAAACAACATACTTATCTAAACAAGTCAAGTAGACAGCCTCCCGAAGATCACCTCCCAGGTGGTGATCCTATTAGACAGAATATAAGCAACAAACGTATGGGATACGGTGGTGATTCTAAAAAGAAGTTACGAATATCAGTTTGAAGGTCTCTATAATTTATATAGTCATCATCATCTCCTGAGATCATATTCAGAATTAACATTAACCTGGAATACTTTTTACAGGAAGGACTGTTAATTTTACATCTACTTGTAACTTGTTTTTGATTTTATGGTCTCTTAGGAAGTTACAATTGTGGAACGAAACGCGTAAGACCAATACTATTGCTGTTTTAATAACATTTCCACTGGTGTTATTTCACCATTTTTTTACAATAAAATAACCATTTTTCTATACATTTCCATCTGGAGTCCTCTTTTTCCTGCTATACACGCAGACCAAGGAGAAAGGATTCACAGCCCCCCACTACATCAGGGGAGGCACCCAGTGAGCACTTTAAACGTCTACATTTTGTGAGTGCAACCATTTATAGCGCACATTTAATTGTTTTAACTGTGTAACACTATGTTATGTTTATGTTCTTTTTAGAATCACAGCCATATCCCATACGTTTCTTGCGTATATGAAATAATAATAATTCATTTATTTAATCATGTATGGCCTGAACCAAGAAGACTGCAGTGTCTTGCATTATTCAGTATGCTTTCCCTGCTGATTGTTCACAGTGTGATAAATTCCCCCATGTTCATTTTGTTCTTAGGAAAATAGTTTATCTCTTATATTGCTTTCTCTTGCATAAGCAATATCGTAAGTTTAACTCTTTGTTATAACTATGGCTCATAGTAGTTAATAAGCAATGTAGTACATACTAAATAATAGATACTATACAAATATTACTCATAAACAAGAGACTATATATCTTCAGAGCTGAAACAACCCAAAAGAGAGTCTATCTATAAAAAAAGAAGAAATGCACTTACAATATGTAGACTTCCAGTAAGCTCTACTTAAAAGCACCTGGGTGTGACGAGACCACTCTCGCCACATTGCATTGGAGAAGCCTGGTTGCCTGCCTGCCTGCCTGCCTGCCTGCTGCCTTTTGACTATGGACCTGCATTTAAATACTTTATTTTCCTATGCAGAAAGGTCTATTCCTGTATTTCTGCCCTGGCGCTCAGTATATTCTCGGATTTACTGAATTAACTCATTTAACCCAGATAGCTATGCCATGGAGCCTATTCGTGTAATAAAAGACTTTGGCTCCATGGCGATTGAACTGTATGTGTGTGTGGTCTGAGCACCATTCAGTATTAATGTGCGCTCAGACCTAAGCTATCTGGGCATATGTTGCATGTCTGTATTTTGTCATAAATGTAACCTTGTGTATTTTATTCTATTTTACTGTCTTTTTACTGCCATGTGCTTAATGGAGTTTTGCCTCTGTCCTTGGAGATAATTGGATTTCTTCCCAATTATCTCCAGGATAGAAGACTCTGTGGTACTGGTTTTGGGCAGAAAAGCCATGCTTCATTTGGTCACAAAGGACTTCGATCTATCACAGGCAGAGGGGGGGTGTATTGTATGTGTTTATTGGTTGTTTTCCAAAACCCTGTGGGTGGTACTAATGTGTATATAAGAACAATAAACCCACAGCTCTGTTTGACCACTGCTTGACCCTCAACACGGAGCCTTGTCTCGTCTTTGGGGGGGGATTTACTGTATGCTGATAGAGACTGATTGCTAGGAGTGTAAGCCGCTTGGGTGCTTTTCCTATTCGTCTGCTAGCAGCTATTTGTGAGGTTCCAGGTCGGGAGTTTGGAGTGCTATTTTGTATGCAGTTCGGGAGTTTGGAGCATTCCTTTACATGCGGTTCGGGAGTTTGGTGTTCTGCAGTAGCTGTGCCTGTATATCTGGAAGGGGAAGATCTCCTAAACGGCGGTTTAACCCTTTAATGCTGAGGGTGCCGTTACACTGGGCTATATGATTCCCGCCTCTAGATATAGTGTGATTATCTTAGTCCGATAATGGATGGTCCAATGTTTATAAAATGTAAACAGAATAAATGCTAACATAGTGTAGTATTCAGATAACACAGATGTGGTTTATATTTACATGAAATGCACTCATATTTTATAGAGCCCGTAAGTGGCTCCCAGCAAATAGTGTAGAGTAGTATAATCTCCAGTTTATAGATATATCTTGTGATGGTGGTCTTCAACATGACAATATGGAATAGAATACTATCTATCTATCTATCTATCTATCTTTCTATTATCCAGGTGTCAGACACAAAATGTAGGATGGTCCAGGAAAGGTTTACAATAATATTGCTTAAAATTAGATATGAATTAAAAAAAAAGCATTAACATTTTGCATTATTGCATGGGCTTTATCAGAGTGTATTACAGAAACCTGGACAAGATCTGCTTTTATAGCTGGGAAAAAAATAATATTCTTGGTCAGGTGGTCATGGTCAAAGTCACGTAACTGCAACTATTTAACATACAGAATACATAATATTGAATGATAAACAATTGTGTAAGAAATAGAGATTAAAATATAAATAATAGAGACTAAGAATATATAATATTGTTCGTGATATCATATTTTTATATTATATTCATGGGAATTTGGTTTGGGGGAGTTGTAGCTTTTTAGTGCTATTACATGGAATACATGAATTACAGGGACCATGAGTACTGAACCTCGGGCTCCCACAGTAGACCATCTGGGACCCTTTCTAGACTGCCAGGGAATATAATTAGTGATAATGTTGTTACACTTAAAATGAGCAATTGCACATTAAATACCATTTTGGTATTGTTATCTATATGATTCCGCTAGTCCTTGCGATTGAATGATACTACACCCCTTACATAGTGTCACTATGTTGTATGTTGTATTGGAGTCATTTTTCTATCCTTAGTACTAAAAGAAGAAAGGAGGGAAGATGCTTGAAAAGGCATATCACCTGGAGACTGTGCACCCCAACTCTGAAGTTATGCAGACCCATTTATTTTTAATTAATTAATTAATTAATCAATTAAATAAGTAAATACAGATAAGTTTCTAGCACTAATTATTTAGGTAAAGGAGGCAGCTGAAAGCAAAATCTCTTTTGTCCAGGTCAGAAAAAGGATGTCAACAGACAGAAGGAGCAGCACCTAGGGTGGTTCTCAGGAGTGTGTCAAATATAAAACGAGAATGAACATGGAATACAAGACTGTATAGTGTAGTAAGTTTGTGGTATATATAAAAGAAAAAGAAGGAATGCACTTACAATATGTAGTACTTCCAGTAATACCTACTTAAAAGTGCCTGGAAAATATGATTTCTGCCTATGCATATGTTATGCTACTTGGGATTGCTGGCACTTTGAGAATCAAATGAAGTTTTAATAATTGTTAAACTTAACGAATTGCATTTAGGCAATAATCCAATAAGAATAAGTGAAAGTCATTAAACAACACAAAGTTCATCAATAAGTATTTCCTCAGAGATATATTAAATAAGATTCATTAGGTTGCTAGGAATAATCTTCAATAATGATATTTAGCAGGTAGCAAAGTATTTGCAAAGCAAGAAACAGTTCCTAGTGATTAAGCTTGATGGGAGTTGTCCTCCATATAATTAGTAGCTTGAAGCAGAGAAGTTTTAAGCAAGCTGTAAATAGTTAATCAATAAATGAGGTAGCAGAGAATAGCTGAAAAGTATATTTAAGGTTAAGGTGAGTTATCCTCCAAGAGTTCAAAGTTATAGTCCACTTGATAATTAGCAAGTATCAGTTCTCCAGTAATCCTCGTTGGCATGCAGTATCATCCATGCATTAGTTCAAAGGCTAGGACGGCTTGTCAGAGTCTATGGAGCCGGCATGTATACCAGGAAGTCGGTCCCACATTGTCAGAGCCTCGGGAGCCGGCGAGTATGGCGGAAGTAGGTCACATATTGTCAGAGCCTCGGGAGCCGGCGAGTATGGTGAAAGTAGGTCACACATTGTCAGAGCCTCGGGAACCGGCAAGTAGAGTGGAAGTAGGTCACACAATCACCAAGCGCCCTCTCTCTGGCGCGGACTGCTTAAGTACAGTCAGAGTCGCGTCAGAAGTGTTACCGCATGACAGCATATGGCATGAGTATCTTGGTCTGATGGAGGATGGTCCCACTGAACCACCAAGGACCCAGGAAAATCCACTAGTAAAGCTAGGAGACAAAAGTGGGGCAAAACAGAGCAACACTGCATACAGCTAGCAAACCCCACAGGCACACATTACATACAGTCAGCACACATCAATAGAAATACATTATTTATAGCCACCACACAACGTACAGTCCCCCAAAAATATTCTACACACACATTATGTACAGCCAGCACATGCACACACATTACATACAGGCAGCAAACACCACATACATTACATGAATACCTACATCACACACCACACGCATTACATACAGACAGTAAACATTAATTACAGGCAGCACACACTGTGACGGTAGTCTCCATCACCAGGAGCTTCAGACAGACTATTTATGTAGGTCCCTGGACTATATATTATGTTTCGGTCACCCTGTGCCTATTATAGGTGCAGGGTGTTTGTAAAATACTTAGTGTTCAGTGTTATGTGTTAGTGTGCTCTCCGGTCTTGCTAATGCTTGCAATCAGCCAGGTGGATTTGACTGTGGAGCCTGTACAGCACCAACTGTTGGTTGCAAGGAAATAGCCACAGCTGTATACACTACGTGAATAGCAAGAATTGCTAATGTGCATATTCAGGTAGATTTGCATATTGTGAATTCTGTGTTAAATATTGTCTTCCCCACCCCTTTATAAATATGTCATTGTATTATAATAAGTTGTTGTATGTTGTCTGCTATGATGTGGTTATTTGTATTTTAATAAAGTTGTCACAGTAATCTAAGTCTAATGAACATATGGGCTAGTCAGACCTGTTGGCCTGAGAGCTTGAAGCTCTGGGACACGGCACTCCTGTTTAAGAGGATATATTTCAACTGATAATGTCCAACTACAAGACAATGAGCCAAGGTTCAATGAAAGCAACCTCAGGAGGAATGGTTATTCAAATTGAAAATGCTGGTCCAGGAGGAAGTGAAACTGGACAACTGGTACCGTGCTCTGTAGTGGCACGCAGAGCAGGAATATTTATGGTTGGAGAGTGACTGGTTCCCGGAGGGCCATGGCTTTGGCTGCCCAGGACTATTATGGGATAAACTCCAGGATGCTGACTTGTTTACAGAAAGGAGGTACTATTCGCTGTGGAAGAAACACAAACATAGAGCACCAATACTTGATCATGTGCAAGCCCTGATGTGTGACCTGGATTATCTGGCCAAACAAGAGTGGAAGAAAAACACAAATATATGTGCACACAAACCAAAGGTGCAATCAGTGCCAAATAAGGTACAAGCAGATAAAAACTTCCCTGTACAAGATGATGCTTTCAATGGTATCCCCAAAGACTTCCTCCTGTCTTCCATTAAATATATGCAAAAAATAGGGGATGATCGGCTAAACCAATTGTGGCAAACCTAGATATTTAAGACTATTCTTTTATGTATAATGGTTGTCCTGGAGAGACTGTGTGATATCTAGCTTATTTTAAGTGTTCGCTTAAATATGGGATAGAGGGCATTCGTATGCTAGTGGTGCGAAAGACGCTAGCATTCCAATAGTAGTTTCACGAACAGTGACTTTCAACACTGTTCGTGAAACGAACAAAGTACCGAATGGGAGACCACACACAGGAGGTCATGTGGCTCCCATTAACAGATTGCAACAATGTATCTTTCCCCGGTTAATTGATTCGCAGGGTGGCCGCCGTTCGGATACCAACCATGCGGCGGAGGCCATCTTGGATTCACTTGTAGCCCAGCGGTGTTTGGTCGTAGAGTGCCTGGAACTAAAATCGGCTACTCGACAGCATGAACACCGCTGGACTTCCAGACCGTTCAGGACCACCGGTCTTTCGGTACTTCCAATCAAACTGTTTGTTCGTGTGTTTTCTTATGCGTTCATATTAAAGTATATTTAATGTGGCATTCGGCTAATTGTGCTGGGATCTGAGCGGTAGTTTCCCGAAGTATGCGCTCAGATCCCAGCTATCTATCTAGATGTCATTTGGTTAAATAGCAAGGGATAATCCACTTAACAGGATATTCTTATGGGAGTATCCCTCTCGTACAGCAGTGCATGGTGGGAAAATGGTCCTGTATGTTCAGTTCCCTATGTAGTCCCCTACTGTACAACCCCTGTAAAGTGATTAAGGAAATCCCTTGCATGGGGAACCATATAAATACTGTGACCTGTGAATAAAACTTCAGTTGACTCCTAGAACTGTGTTTCGTCCGGTTACTGTGGAAATTGGGATATTGCCTTCATTCAGCGCTTTTCTTGGATTACTTTATTTTACCAGCGGAGATATTGGGATTTAATATTGCAGCTCCGCTACACCAATAACAAACAAAAAGACTTAGCGTATAACTGTGTATATGAATTAACTGTAAGTGCTGCGTTTCGCAAATGGCCACTCACACTTTCACTGAAGTAGAACTGTCTAAAGTATAAAATCCTTCCAGGGATTCAATCTTCAGTCTGTATTCAAATCACCACAGGTTGGCTGGAGTATATGTCCTCTAAGGAGAGAAAATAAAAGTTGTAGTGCACAATCGGTATGTAATAAAAAAAGAATTAATCATTTACATCAAGGTTAAAAACAATGGGTGTAGTATCTCTGAGTCACCACCAGGGGTCCTACACTTTTCGTCCCTCTGCAGGACTTCCTCAGGGTATTTGACAGTGTGCAGTAACAAGTTTCAAGTACAAATTGATATTCAAATGAATAAGTCCCTGGCCTTATCTTAAATCTAGGAGCGATACAACTTCTTTGGATGATATGCACCTCAAAAAATATAAAAACAGAGAAAACACAATAATAGTGAAGACTGTTTACACAGAATAAGAAGCAAATGTCTTCCCACTATATCCCTTTGGATCTTCATTTACAATGCTTAGAGCCTTACACCTGGCTCCAATTTATATGCCTTGGAGTCTCTTTTTGAGGGACTTCTTTCCTCTTGTCTCTGGTGATATTGACTTCAAAGAACAAAGATTGATAACAAGATCTAGTGCAATACATCCTGACAATATAGCAGTATAAAAGATATAAATTACCATGGCACTCACATGTTATAGAGCCTTTCAATAGGCTATGCAATGTGCCTGATTCTGAGGGGGGCGCCACGCTTAGGTTTCGATGCAAGCATTCTCCACCAATCCAGATGCAGATAATGGATATTTTATTAAATCAAATGATTAAAAAAGATATACTTTTAAAATTTGCAATACATGAATAAATCAAAGTCAACGTGATTTATTGCTAATTTTAAAAATATATCTATATATATTTTTTTTCTTTCTTTTTACATCAGAACATGGTATTAGTTATTTAATTTCTTGCGGAGTCATAGATAGAATAATCGAATACCAGATCATCATATGTATTGTTCATTCTCTCTTACTCTATCTGTCCTTATCTAGTTAATTTCTATTTCTTCCTTTTATTTCATCTTAATATTATTACAAGTCTTTCTTCCTTTCTCTTTCCCTTTTTTTTTTTTTAATACCTTCAAATACATGACAAACTAACAAACTAAGTGGCACACATACATAAAACATTTGCTCGATTCGTGGTGCGAAAAATAAAATAAAAAAATTAAAAATTAGATATATACCACAGAAAAAATCCGGCTAGAGGGGAGCCTCACTATCTAGGTTCTATTCTTTTAATCCATTTATCCCAGTATATGTATTGAAGTCCCTTATTTGGTGCAAAATTAGTAATGGTCCTTTCCATTTTACATTGGGTAATACTTTGCACATGTATCGTATCCCAATTATCTACCATACAAGATTTCCAATTCCTAGCTATTGAGGTTTTAACAAATAATATATATTTTTTAATCATTGGATTTAATAAAATACCTTTTATGTGCATCTGGATTGGTGGAGACTGCTTGCATCTGAACCTAAGGGTGGCATGCCTCTCAGAATCAGACACCATGCAGCTAAAATAGAGCCTATTGAACTTTCATACTGCTATATTGTCAGGACGTATTGCACAAGATCTTGTTATCTGTCTTTGTTCATGGAGGTCAATATCACCAGAGACAATGTTGTGACTACTGAAGAGTTAAAAAAAATAAATAAAATCAGCAATTTTGGCTTCCATTTTTTTCCATTCAGATTTGATTTGTGAGTTTCAAGTTTAGCAAATAGTTGTCAACGTCCAGGGCTCTTGGCAGGGTTTTGATATAATTGAACATTTCAGACACCGTAAAAACTTTTGGAATCAAGTTTTTCATGTGAAGCAGTTACCATGGAAACCAATTACATGTTCTTGCTAATTGCTCAGTATTGATGACTCTGCATCAAAATTACTTCTACTTCATTTTCTTGATATTTTATATTCTGTTTTTAAATGTCTGTCTTAACAGTTGCAGAGAATAATTCTACACCTGGAAGAGTTACTGTGATCTTAAAGGTTCTACTAATAATAATGTTCCTGTTCTTGATAGCTCTGACAATCCTTGTGTTCCTGTTCTGTGAGTATGAAATACACTATGCTGGGGCAATTAGGATTGCATGTCAGTTAATTAATATATTAAGCAATGTATATAAATATAACAAAATGTGTCAACAGTGCTACTTTGAAGGACACTCATGTATGGGTATCCTAGGAATCCTCAGTCTAACATTCATAATTTATTCCTGTGGCTTTATACCCTTGAGTAGATGGGTTACTACCAATTAGGTTGTCCTTTTCCAGTGAATATAGCTCCAGAGTGATTATGCTCTCCTGCAAGATATACCGTTGTCTCACTACCCAAGACTTAGTGAAGGGTTAGGAAGGACTGTTTTTATTGAACTAAGCACACAGATGTATAGTCAGACTCCCAACATGGGGTCTCCATTTATTGTGATATAAGCCTGCACATGCGCCTCGGTGTCTGGGAGATAATTGTGTCAGCTCTCGGTCAAACTCATTATCTCCCAGATACAAAGACACCCAGAACACACAAACACTATAGCAGAACACCCCCACATGTCATATATGTTCAGAAAGGCCTCTCTGGAGCTCCCATTCTGTCAAAAAAGCAGATGAGACTAGCCAGAATAAGATGGAAGTGCAAAAGTTTAGAGGAATGCGGCTAGCCTCGGATCTAGCTCAGAGTTCCAGAGTGCTTGGTAGAGTGCTGGTCATGTCTCAGCAGCCCCCTCAGTGGCTCTGGCTGCATGGCATGGGATCTGGGCTGGGAGGCATGGGTTGGAGGGTAAGTCCATAGTGTTTATAGTCTTTTGAGAACAGGTGGGTGTTTGGGGGAACATGGCTTAGAGGGTCCCTCACACTTCCACTAAACTAAAATTAGTTATTATTGTCAACTAAGTAAAATTCTTCAATATTTGAGATGAAAATTAACAATTATGAATAAATTGATGATGATAAAAAAAAGAAAAGAAAAAAAAACTCCTCTTCACTACCTGAGATTATTGGGAGTTACAGTCCCTAGCTGCCTGTATTTTAGCTTTTGTCGAGTACCAATGGAACCTGCAACCCATGAGTATAACTCATACTAATGAAGGGCAGAGCAGAATATGTATGTCCTGGTTCTTAAACTGTGCTTGATTTTCACCCTTTATCAAGGCTTGACTGATGTTTGGCAAAAATGCTAAATTGTCTATTCAGGGAACTCTGACTAGAATGGGAACTAGAAGAATGTAAACAAATGAGAAATTCATTCCTGCTTCTTATATTTGACAGAATCCTTCATCCATACACATGCACCTTGGATCAGACAGTGTTTAAAAACTGACATTTTGTCTCCATGAACTTTAGCACAGAAGCAGGGAGTGAGGCAAAAGACTAACTGTTGGTTTTCGAACACTGTTTGATTCACGGTGTTTGTATATGGCTGAAGAATCCTGTCATATACAAAAGGTAAAGATAAGTTTCTCATTTGCTTACTTATACTTTACGTTGTAATGGAGCTCCCATAGTCAGACTGAGTACCTCAAATTTATACACCACACCGCCCACCAAAAAAAAGCAAACTGTATATTGATTACCTAGTCTCACAACCAGGGTCATCTTTAATACTGATTGGAGCCTGGGCAAGCTTGGTCAAGTATTTGTTTGGGCACCATGTTTGCTGCCCCTGCCCCTGACTCCCTGGCATGTAATCACATCCTCCACCCCAGTGCAGTGGCAGAACTAAAGTGGAGAGCACCCTGGTGCAAGAATTTTTATTTTTGGGGGACGTCTTCCCTCTTGTCTATGGTGATATTGACCTCAAAGAACAAAGATTGATAACAAGATCTCGTGCAATGCATCCTGACAATACAGCAGTATAAAAGATATAAATTACCATGGCACTCACGTGTTATAGAGCCTTTCAATAGGCTATGCAATGTGCCTGATTCTGAGGGGGGGTGCCACCCTTAGGTTTCAATGCAAGCATTCTCCACCAATCCAGATGCAGGTAAAAGGTATTTTATTAAATTCAATGATTAAAAAAGTATACTTTTAAAATTAGCAATACATCAATAAATCAAAGTCAAAGTGATTTATTGCTAATTTTAAAAATATATATTTTTTAATCATTGGATTTAATAAAATACCTTTTATGTGCATCTGGATTTGTGGAGACTGCTTGCATCTGAACCTAAGGGTGGCATGCCTCTCAGAATCAGACACCATGCAGCTAAAATAGAGCCTATTGAACTTTCATACTGCTATATTGTCAGGACGTATTGCACAAGATACAAGGTCTTTGTTCTTGGAGGTCAATTTCACCAGAGACAATGTTGTGACTACAGCAGAGTTAAAAAAAAAAAAAAATCAAATCAGCAATTTTGGCCTCCATGTTTCCATTCAGATTTGATTTGCAAGTTTTAAGTTTAGCAAATAGTTGTCAACGTCCAGGGCTCTTGGCAGGGTTTTGATATAATTGAACATTTGAGACACTGTAAAAACTTTTGGAATCAAGTTTTTCATGTGAAGTAGTTACCATGGAAACCAAGTAAAAAATTACTTAGTATTAGTAAATTTTGCCTCTACAGTAGGTCCCCCCCTTATTCTAATTTAGGGCTCCCACCCACCGCACAGGGGTGGGGGCTGGGGGGGGACAATAGGTCCCCCCTTATTGATATTTAGGGCCCCCACCCACCGCTTGGGGTGGGTGCCCGGGTGGAGGACAGTAGGTCCCCCCCATTCTAATTTAGGGCCCCCACCCACCGCTCAGGGGTTGGGGCCAGGGGGGAGGACAATAGGTCCCCCCCTTATTGGTATTTAGGGCCCCCACCCACTGCCCAGGGGTGAGGGCCAGGGGGGAAGACAATAGGTCCCCCCCTTATTCTTTAGGGCCCCCGCCCACCGCTCTGGGGTGAGGGCCAGGGGGAGGACAATGGGTCCCCCCTCCCTTATTTTACTTTAGGGCCCCCACCCGCCCCCACCTACATAAATAGTCTGTTTGAAGGTCCAGGTAATGGTGACTACCGTCACAAGTACTGTCTAGCATTTTCAAGGCTTTGGATATCTTTTCTAACTTTTTCCATCTTTATAAAGTTCCATTACCTTGTTACACAGGTCTTTCTGCTCCCCATGGTTCAGTATCTAGCCTGCTCAATGCATCCACATGAGATCTAACAAACTCATTGACTATTTATACACAGACACTAATTGCAATTTAAAAAGCCACAGATGGCGAGAATTAACCTTTAATTGCCATTTTAACCTAAGTGTGTCACCTTGTTTGTCTGTAACAAGGCCAAACATTCAAGGGTATGTAAACTTTTGATCAGGGCCATTTGGGTGATTTCTGATATCATTATGATTTAAAAAGGAGCCAAGCAACTATCTGATAATAATTTGCTTCATATGATCACTATACTTCAATAAAATATTTTTTTTTGCATGATCAGTCATATTTTCAAAATCAATGCCAAAATTTCGCAATTTCTGCCAGGGTATGCAAACATTTGAGCACAACTGTATAAATACTGGCACAAACACATAAGCACAGATACACAAATTGACAGAATATAGATACAGATAAGCACAATGACAACATACAGATACACAGACACATATAATGGCAGACATACTGACACACACGCAGACACACACACTAATAGACATACTGACACAAACACTGAGAGACATACTGGTACACACACACACACATTAAACATTTACACTTGAAAAGCCTTTATGTCTCTCTGGGAGGAAGTGACTGGCTATCACTTCCTCCAGTGCTGCTGATGTGAAATGGGCTGTTAAATGAGCACAGAACCCATCCAAAAAATCCAGTCCTGCTGATAAATGCTCTTTGCCTGGCCCTAAATGCATGGGCCACCCTATGGGCCTCCTTACAGTGTGGCGCCCATAGAGTGGGCCCACTGCCCGTAACAATTTCTTTTAGGATTAGTGATCCTAAAAGAAATTGTTGCGGGCAGAGGGCAAGTGGGGCAGCTGCTTTGGGCCCAAGATGAGTAAATGGGCCCCGCTCACAACAAAATGTAATTCTCCTATCTCTCATTTAAAGTGTTTCAAGTGCTACTAGCAGTAGACAGCTAGGTGGATACAACAGTAAGCTAAACCTAGTCTCACACTAGAATCGATGGCACAGGCTCCATCTCCCACACAGACACAGCAAGTTTAAAAAACAGTATCACTGGTGGTCTGTCTTCTTCATTAGCTGCAGTCAGAGTACCTGGTGAAAAATCCTTCTTGGAAGTATAGATTGTTTTACTGCTCCTCCTCTTGCCCCTCACCATTTTTTGGGGGCAGCTTTGCGGTGACTCTTTTGCCCCTGTTAGAGTTTCTAACCGCTCCAACAACTGGGAAGGTTGAATAAAAATGTTACACTTTGCACTGTGTTACATAGTTACATAGCCTGAAAAGAGACATGCGTCCATCAAGTTCAGGCTTTTTAAACATTTTTTTTTGCTGTTGATCCAAAAGAAGGCAAATAAACACAGTTTGAAGCACTTAAAATTGTGCAACAAACTAGGAAAAAAATCTTGTTTTCTTATGATTGTTTTTCTTCTTTTCAGACTATATTGCATCTGGAGAAATAAAAAAAAGTGTATCTGAAAGAATGCAGCAACGTAAGTAAACCGCTAACATCTTCAGAAATTAACTTTTTGTAGCCGAATTAAAAAATTATTTTAAATTGGTTCTTATAGATAATCTATATGAGAACATCCCTATTTGCTCCAACACATCCAGAAATAGAATTCAACTCCACACATCTAAGTATAGTGTCTAACAGATAACTGTCCCCACGTCACTAAATGCATAATTTATTTTAAGGATAAATTATTTATATATATATATATATATATATATATATATATATACATCGTAGTAGCTTGCACTCCAAGAAGACTTTTGTAGTGCTCGGTGCTGGTTGTGGCAAAGGTAGATATGGGTGTAGAAACAATCGCACTCCTGGGACTTGGTTGAAGTAGTAAAATTTTGCTTTTATTTATTCTATATAAAATATCAACGTTTCAGCTCCAACATGGAGCTTTCATCAGGACAGGTAACCATATATATTGCTTTGGGAGCTGTTCTATTAGTACTTACCTACAGCCAGTCACTCCAGTGACGCCATCTCAGAAGATCTGTGAGTAGTACAGTACTGAAACACCCACCCACCATTGCTGCCCTCTGTCTTCTGTGATTGGCCCTGGTAGTGGAAGTGCCAATCCTTAATACTGATGCCAGCATGCTGGTTTTGCTGCAAGAACATTGGCATCATTGCAATCCATGCTCCCTCAGAAAGTGTCAAGGAGCAAGAGAACTGGCTGGGTGAGTGTTCTCCTGCTCAGTTTGTCACTGAATCCATGGTAGTAGACCATATGTTTAAATTATTTGAAATTAAAACATATATTTGCTATATTTCTGCTAGCACAATCTAGAGAAAGAATTTAATGTTCCTCACAATGAGTCTAACTTGTGTTTGCTGGGGCTGGTGCACTTTGTTAATTTTTGTTGTATGTGTATGTTTTTATATTTAGTATATATTATTTAGTTTTATTCTTTTAAATGTATACATTTTCATGTCTTTGTAACTATAGCCTGTGCTAATCATGCAAAGTATTTTATCACCTTTGTCTTTGTCCATCATGTTAAAAGTTAGTTTAACCAGCTCAGGCCCATATATCTTTCCTGTTCCTTGTTTAATGGTTTTATTTCCCTACTCAAATACCTCTGTCTTATCTCTGTAATTCTCAATCTTTGCTTTTTGTTTCTCCTTAAATGACCTTAAATCAAATGTCCATCTATGCACCCCCCCATCTCTTAGCCCATCTGACCCTAATATACATCTCTCTCCCACAGTCTGATTTTTAAACATACCCAGTCCAGCATAGAACTCAGAGCTCCATCAGCTGTTCCATGGCCATTTGAAACAGGTAGCCTTCTGGAAGACTGACTTTTCCCTCCCACCCCACCCTACCCCTCACCCACCCACCCCATGGTCATTTTCTCCTTTATAGATAGTCTCCCACACAACTTTCAATCTACTGAAATGACAGGTGCAACCACTGATCAGCACACCCTTTCAATCTCTTAACCCTATAGAACACATACCCTCTCTCACTACAAATAGATATATCACACACTAAAACCATATACTTCTATTTAAAAAAAAAAAAAAAAAAATAGTTTCTCACAATTTCTGTTTCATTTTCAACTACACACCTCATACCACTAACATGAATCCTATAACCATACTGTTATTCTTAATAACCCTTTTCTCAATCCAATTTTGTTCACACCACTACCAGCATAAGCACGCACCTCAAACTGGAACACAAATTATAATACACCATGGCCTGCTCTGTTCCTTTAACTTAGCTGCTGAGTGCTGGTGGAGAGTTATAAAAAATAGCCCTCCTACCCCCAACTCACAAAATTATAAATTATCCCATTCACTATATGGCCAAACAAAGATGATGTCCAAATTCCTACTCCTTATGTTACTTGCCCTTGCAAATGATGTGGAGTCTAACCCTGGTCCCCCAGCTAATTCTAGTCCTAATCTCCCCACTAAAAAAGGCCTCTCTTTTGTGCACTGCAACATCCGTAGTTTACTCCCTAAACTGGATGCACTGCAAGCCTGGTGTTCCCATTACAAACCAAAAATCATTGTGCTCTCAGAATCATGGTTAACGGCTAAAATACCAGACACCGCCATTGCAATACAGGGTTATTCATGTTTTAGAAATGACAGAGCAAAGAGAGGAGGAGGCATTGTTATTTATGTTGACAATTCCATAAAGTTTACCCCTTTACAAAACCTTAGTCCTCCTGCCATCTTTGATTTCCTTTCTGTCAAAATTGAGATCCCGTGCAGTAAATCAATCATTGTTGCAGGAATCTACCGCCCACCTAGCTCCCCTGTGCATTCCCTATCTGACATAGCCCATCTCCTTAGTGAAACCATAGCTCAAAACCCAAAAAGTGAACTGTTGGTCTTTGGAGATTTTAATATTGATTGGCTGAACCCTAAAAATAATAGTTCTTGCACGCTGTTTAAGACTTTGCAGCTAACGCAATTAATCTCCTCCCCAACTCGCATAAACATAAAAAGCCATAACCATACCCTGCTAGATTGGATTCTCTCCACTTCTCCTGATAGAATCCAGGAGGCTGGTGTTCTCCCAAACACGTTCAGTGATCACTGTTTAGTGTACTGCGTGCGCAAAATAAAGGCTATTAAATCCTCTCCCAAGGTTAAAATAACTAGGTCCTTCAAAAGATTTAATCTTGAATCCTTTTTAAATGACATCAAGAATCTCCCATGGCACAGATTAAACATTATCCCAGATCTAGACTGTGCTGTTGAATACTTTCAGTCTGAACTCCTACAAATTTGGAATTTGCATGCCCCGCTGCGTAAGGTGAGGGTAAAAGGAGCGCATATGAACTGGATCACAGCTGACCTCATCCAAATGTACCAGTTTCGGGATTCTTTGTGGTCAAAATTTAAGCGTACTGGCTCTATGAATGATCACGGTGCATATAGACAATGGCGAAATATATGCACAAAACAGACAAAACTGGCCAAGGCCCAATATTTCTATGAAAATCTGAACAGTAACATCTCAAACCCTAGAAACTTTTGGAAAGTCATAAATAAACTACAAACTCCCCCAATCCACTCCCAACCCTCCACTGTCAAAGTGGGTAACCAAACCCTGCAACTTCCCTTAGATGTAGCAAATGCCTTTAACAATTATTTTGTCGGATGCTCTACTGCCCTGATTGCCAAGCTAATAAATGACACGCATCCTGAAACTACAAATGTGGATCAGGCCCCACTAAATTTGCAAAGGCCCAATATAGATAAGTTTAATTTTAGACCTGTACCTGTTAGTGTCATTAAAAAACATCTTAATAATCTAAAAATGAAAAACCAGTCCGGACCTGATCAAATCCCAGCAATGCTGTTGAAGCTCAGTGCGCCGGCAATTGCTAAACCCGTCTCAACTCTAATTAACGAATCATTGGTGTCTGGATACATACCCAAACTTTGGAAGACTGCGAGAGTAGTGCCTATCCATAAAAGTGGTGACACTACTTTGGTTTCTAACTATCGCCCAATATCATTGCTCCCTGTATTGTCAAAAATCTTAGAAAAATGTGTCCATACGCAACTTTGTGAGTACTACCAACAATTAAACTATCTGACCCCTGATCAATCGGGCTTTCGCCAGAATCACTCCACTACAACTGCCCTCCTAAAAGTTTGCAATGACATCCAAACTGGCATGGAACAAGGAGCCCTAACTGGAGCTATTTTCCTTGATTTTGCTAAGGCCTTTGACACAGTAGACCACGACATTCTACTGCACAAACTCGAAAACTCAGGTATTGGTGATCATTCTTTAAACTGGTTTCGATCGTATGTATCGGATCGCTCGCAATATGTGTCCATTTCTGACAGTGACTCCCTCCCTCTCCCGGTCACGTGTGGTGTTCCCCAGGGTTCCATTCTCGGCCCCCTACTATTTACATTATTTATAAATGATCTGCCTAATGTCTGCCAATCCTCAAATGTACACATGTACGCAGATGACACGGTAATCTATGCGAGCAAATCCAATCTACCTCAACTTGAGGCTTTGCTCCAAGACCAGTTTACAGAGGTAGAAAAGTGGATCGCAAAAAACAAACTCTTCCTGAACACTGACAAAACTGTCACAATGATCTTTGGAACGGTACCTAAATTACACAAATTACACAATCCCCACCTATCCATCAAAACAAATTCAAATGGCACACTGACCGCGGTCCACTCTTTCAAATACTTGGGTATGATATTAGACCCCAATCTATCTTTTGGCCTGCACATAGAAAAGCTTGCATCTAAACTTTATCCAAAATTAGGTGCCCTGTACAGAAACAAAGCCTGCCTAAGCCCTACAGTAAAGGAAAAGATTGTACAGCAAATGCTGATGCCAATCATTGATTATGGGGATGTAGTATATGCGTCTGCATCGCAATCCCACATTAATAAACTCAACACATTGTATAACTCGTTCTGCAGATTTGTGCTACAATGTAATTACAGGACCCATCATTGTGACATGCTAAAGGAACTAAACTGGCTGTCGCTGGAATCCAGACGCACCCTTCATCTTTCCAGCCTTGTTTTTAAGAGCTTTTCTGGGAAACTCACACCCTACCTGAACAAAATGCTTTCCCCAGCTGTTCCCACTTTCTATAACCTCCGATCCAGTACAAGCACTTTACTTAGTCTACCTCAATACAAAAAGAAAGCGGCCCGATCCTCCTTCTCCTACAGAGCGCCGCAATTGTGGAACGACCTCCCGCACAATTTAAAATCTTCCCTAAGCCTAAAGTCATTTAAGAGATCCCTCTCTACATACCTCAAAACAGAATGCACGTGTCATGGTTGATTATATATTTCCTGCCTGTTCTATGTTAAATTTTGTATATATTGTGTATTAATATTGTTTTTGTATTTTGTTGTACCTAATGTAACAATGCAATGATTTGTGGACCCAGGACATACTTGAAAACGAGAGAAATCTCAATGTATCTTTCCTGGTAAAATATTTTATAAATAAATAAA